TTTAATTTGTAAGATTTGTTTCTTATTATTTTAATAAAATTAAGAAAAATAAAATATTAATAAGTTATTTTCTAGGTCATTTTTCATGACTTAACCAGGAAACTGTTTTTCAATTTATTTTTCATTATATTACCAAATATCATAAAGTAATTTACTTTTTCAGAAATTATTTAAAAAAAAACTATTTTTAGCAAATAAATGGGGCTCTAGAAAACTGAAAATGGAGTAATTATTTGTTATTTTATGCTATAATTTTGTATATTTCATAAAAAAATTAATATATGAATTATGATATCATAATTTCCAATAGTAACATATAATTAATATCGCTATTTTAAAACACTATTTTTTAAAATATCTTATTTCACCGAAACATTTTGCTTTTATTTTAATTCTGTGTGCTCATTTCCCAGATTGCGAAAGTCAAACAGAACAGACAGCACCAGGGACAAAGTTGTAAATTCGTTTTCCAGACATTGTTTAGTATTGAAACAGACGTAGACTTCCAATTGATTCCTTTAGTCAGACAGACAGAGAGTGAGAGAGCTATGGAGAGACCAAGGTGGTGGTTGTTTCTGTTACCGGGTATTGTAGTGTTGGATTTGGTTTGTCTTTGCAAGGCAATCGAATCGCCACACTATGCAGTGGTGCACGCGGAATCAGATTTTGAGGTCAGATTATATGTGAATTCCACATGGATGTCTGCTCCAGTTAATGAACTCTCCTTTGAGAAAGCCACTTTGTTTGGCTTTCACAGGTAACTCCTATTCTCAAGAGCTCCGTGAATTTTATATGCATATCTAGTTTGATGCTTTCATTGCTTAAAGAAAAGTTTGATTCTTTGAAGACTTTGGTTTGGTTGGTATTAACTTTCACAACAGATTTTTTTGGTTGCTCACTTGTTTCATGATTGTAGAGAATAAGATTGTTGAAAGAACCATGTTTGGTTGCGCAGAAAGTGGGAAAATGAATAAAGTAGGGATTTTGAGTCATGGGGTTTTGTTTTTTTTCCGGGTATCGTGTGTTTTGAGACGGATTTTGGGAATTTGTTACTTTTGATTTTTGATTTTTGATGATTAGGATGAAGAAGATAGAATTTCAAATCTCGATTTTGTGATTTTAATCATCTGTGACTTGAGAGGTAAATGTTAGCACATGATTTTATAATAATCTAACTAGTTAGAATAGTTGGGTATAGATTGCAATTTTGCTCCAGGTTCATGGAGCTACCATTTCTTGACCGTGTTCTTCTGACTGACAAAAAATAGAAAGTAGTAATGGCAAGAAGCTAATTGACCCTCCATGTTGGAACTCTCTTTTTATTTGAATTTGTATTTTCCTTGATCTCTTATCATCTTTTATGTAACTGAAGTCATTAGTTTTGATGTTTCTGATTCTACTATAACCTTAATGGAAGAATTAGGAATGAGCGGTGGACCAAAAATGATTCAGGCTAAAGTGGTAAAGAATGACTATGCATAACAACAGGTTACACCAAATTGATCTAGATAGTAGATATGTAATTTGATCGGTTTAAAGATTCTAATATTGCAGTTCAGATGTTCAATGGCTTTCTGTGAATACAGTAAACAATATGCGCTAGCATGTAATTCTTAAAATAAACATTCATCTTTTTCATTCAACCAAGTAAGCTTTTTGTAAAAACAGGTAAGTTGGCTTGACGATGGGGATGAATCTGCAATCTTAGCAAGCTTGCTTGCACAAAGCCACTCCTATCCCCGTTTTGGAGCCACAGACCACAGCAAATAGTAATGTAGTTTTAGGAGGACAGGGTGGAAATAGCAACATTTAGGAACAATAAAAAAAAAACATGATAGCTGCTTCCTTAAAGCAGAATGGTTACGGTTTGTTTGGGATTGGTTGTACCTCTTTTTCTGTATTTTTGTAATTTCTAATCTTCCTTTGGAAGTCTAATTCATTTGCTTGATATTATCCTGTTGTTCTTTTATCAGGTTGTTTCAATACATCCAAGGTGCCAATCTAAATTCTTCGAGGATTGCAATGACAGCTCCCGTTGTGACTAGCATAGTTCCAGGAGCTGGGCCCTTTCGATCTTCAGCCTACATCGTTCGATTTTACTTGCCTGTGAAATTCCAAGCTGACCCACCAGTCCCCCTTGATGAACTGCACCTGAAACCATACACATGGAACAGTCGTTGTGTTGCTGTGAGGAAGTTCTCTGGATATGCGAAGGATGAGAATGTTGCAAGAGAAGCAAAAAGACTCGCTGTCAGCTTGAGCATGTCTCCATGGTTCAACGTAACTTCTACTGAAAGCAATTGTTCCTATTCGATTGCTCAGTACGATTCTCCATTCCAGTTTATCCATCGTACCAATGAAGTATGGGCATATATAAAAGCACCCGGAGCAAATGGTTGCCAACCCAGTGGAATAGCCTCGTACTGACGAATTGTAGATTGGATGGGCATGAAAGTTTGGAATCTGTTTCTCTCATGCCGAAAGGATCAAATACAAAAGATGCACCACAGTAGTTTCCTTATCCTTGTAAATATGTTGTCAAGTTATATGTAAAACATGCTGTCCAACGTTTTCCAGTTCAGCTTGTATGTCGATACCATATAAACTTAATGACTCTGATATTTTTGTCTTTTATTAGCATCTTTCTTTGTTAAATATATTGGTTTGTGGACAGTGAACTTCACTCAATAGGGCATTGCTGAGACAATCAAGCTTGTTTTTGTGTTTGATCAGCATCAAAAGAGTGTTTTACGTCATTGCAAAGACTTCGAGATTTATTGTACCAGCTTTCAAATTGCCAATTTCAAGGATAAATTTGAGATGGAACAATTTCCAGGTGAACATTTTGAACACTGAGGCAGTCTCGGTAACAAAAATAGACCTGCTAATTCCTGCAAAAGGACAGCTAGAAATGGTTTTTAACCATTAGATAATGAATATCACTTAGGATCATTTGTATTATATAAGTCATTGCGTAATCCTCAGCCCAAAATTTCGTGCTTGTAATCTGGCAGTTAACAGTGAGAGTTTCTGAGAATTTTGTCCTGTGGTTGCTAGTTTGAACAATGGACTGCTAAAATGCTTTGGCTAACCAAAAATGCTTTGGCTAACCAGTGAGTGGCTGGGATAGCAACAACCGCCAAAAAGAGCAAAGAAAAAAGGGTTAAAGATCACACAACACAAACACACAGACAAACTTCCCATCAAAACCCATTCACTAACCTCTCCACCTGAGTTTAAAGAATCGTTCACAGACTTTTTTGCTTGAGCTCAGAATGCAGTACAGAATTCCAGACAAGGAAAGTAACAAAAGCAATCAAATTAAAAGGAAAACAGGAGACATTTCCATATGCATGCTACAACACAGAAGGGCATTCACACGGCTGCAAGCAACATAGAAAGCAGATTAGGACTTCAAGCGATTGTTTGAAATATCTTGTTGCATGCTGATATTCTCCTATTTAACAATATCTTGTTTCGTAGGCTGATCTGCTTCTTTCAATTTTTGTTTCGTGCTGCTATACTTAATAGCATCGCTGCCCATCACAGTCATTTTCCACTCAACACACACTTCGCCTTAGAAAGCTAGCATTCTGCAGTCATTCTTGAACCATAAATCCCACTGACAATTCTGTTACCTAATGTTGTTGTAACCAAACATTAGTTTGGACGGAGTTTAGGATGAACATAAGATGGAAAAGATAGTCTGACAGCAGGAATCTTCTTGCCCGGCATAGGCAACTTGATTTGATTATAGTAAACAATAAATGAAATAAACAGAAGTAGAAGAAACAAAAGGATGGAGGAATATAGAACCTCCTTACTTTTCAGGGATAAAATGGTTGTTTCGGTAGAGCTTGGCCATGGTTTCTCCACTTCAACTAGTGAAGCTCCTAAAGTCCAAGATAGATCTCCAGGACCAAACACTATTTCTTTATCACCAAGACACAAAGCATCCTCAATTAGTGATGCCATATAAGGCACCCGGAAACAATATTTGCCAATGTTGTTTTGGTTTCCAGAAGCGTTGCTCGAGTCAGGCCATGATTTTGAACACATCTGCTGACCCTTCTCCCAAATCTTAGTCAAATTAGCTATTGGAGCCAGATCTAACATGTTGTAAACAGCAAAAAATCCAGATAAAGCATGAAATCGTCTTGAAAGGTAGGTTCCAGCTATAAAATTCAGAGTGTCACTCCCTGCAAAATACAAATGGAAGTTACAGAGACAGTTTTTGCATGTATAGCTCTAAGTCTACTTCAGTCAGAGATGGCAAGCATTGTTAAAGAAGCATACTGCATAAAACCTCTTGTTGGAAAAGACCAATTTAAGAACAAAATTTCTTCAATGAGCAAGTTTTACTTGACCTTCTAAGAAACAATTGACAAAATCCAGTCAAGTAAAATTGTGGTCAGCACGATACATAATATGCATTAATCATGCTTCTTTGATGCTTCTTCTAGACATGCAAAATAGCAAGCCTAAACTGTAAATGTTTTCTTATCAGATGTAAGGGTTATGCTATATTAGCAGGTGCATGTGCATGTTACAATTCAAACCCAAATATTTTCTAGATGAATAAACAGCTCTAATGCAAGCAAAATTGTGCAGAGAATTCCTTCTTTTTTTTTTAATCCAGGAAAAAGTTTCTTCAAGTTTTCAAGCATCACTTGGTTCGTTTTCTTTGCCATGTAATTGAGGGGCCATGGGTGCTACACAACAAGGCTTCCCCATTTCAATAATATAAACACCACATCCTTGACCAGAAGAAACCAAATTTAGAAAACTATATAGGACTATTACAATGAAGAGCACCAAGATGTAATTATTTTTCATACATGCATATAATACTGAAAGAGGCAGTAATGATTCGAGACATCATCACGTTAAAATTGAGAACCACAGCAACATATTCACCAGCATTTAAGTGTCAAAAACTTATTTTAAACAACGAATAGAGGGAACTGAAATAAAGTTTTGAACTTACCATATGAAGACAGGCCAGTTTTGCAATTATTGAGATCAGTTGACTGTGACCAATCCAAAATGCTTAAGTTGAGAGCAGCAGCCCTTGCAATCCCTTTGCATATCTCCCAATCTGGGTCTCCAACCAGGTGAGTATTAGTAAATTCACTTTTATGCGTTTGAATGCTCAAATTCCTTTGATAAGGGGCATTAATCCCATCACAGACATAGCAAGAATAATTTCGCTGAAAACCAAAACCAAGACAAGGATGCCTAACTTCATATCTTTCGTTATTACCTCCTCCACCTGGCTGGACCTGACTAAGCATGGCAACTGTCCTATCAAATGCCTCATTCAAACCAAATGATGATAATGAGAATGCTAAAATATAATGTTCAACCAATCCAATCTTTGACCTTATCAAATTAGCATCATTTCTTCCACCATCATGTACTTCCATTACAACTTGCAACGATGAACCTCCCAAATCAAGAAGTCCTAACGTAGGCCCTATTGAGGAATTCCCTAGACTCCCCATTTTATAGTTCAAAGCCACCCAACCATAATACGCTTCTTCCTTCCCACTCAAGACCCTTATCCAACTTTTCTTAGAAACAAATGAGTGCTCCTTAACAACATCCTCCACGTCATCCAAAACCCGCCTAGCATCCTCAATTAGCACCCTCCTCAGTCCAGCAGTAGCCAAGACAAAAATGGGAGTGTCTCCATGTCTTTCACGAGGCACCCACTGTTCAGCCCATAGAATCAATGGTTCTAACGACAGCCTCACTCCCGTGGAGTTACCAACAAACTTATCTAAACCTGGCTCTGTTTGCACACAATGATACTTGCAAGAACTTCCCCTAGACAGACTCTGAGTTGAATTGTCAGGATACGAATGCACTAAAATTGGCAAATCCCAATTACTTAAACTTGCTGGTTTCCACCATTTATACACATTAACTCGCGTCCCAGTGCTTCCACAATCCACAACAACCGTATAATGATAAAAACCACTCTTCACTACAGCTTTCCCGGCATTATTAGATGCAAAATAAACACCAAGCAACAACAACAAAATCACTAGACAAACTCCACATATTTTCAAAATCAATTTATAATGAGAAAAACCCATGATAGAGAGCTAAAGTTTGGAAGGTGATTTGGGTTCCATAGCTGAATTCTCAATATTCCAAGCCCTAACAAACCCTCATTCTCATTTTCATTAATAGCATCATAACTACGCAGTAACATTGATTTGAAGCATGCAAATTCAATCTGACATTATTTTTATGAAATAGATTAAGTTCAGATTTAACTAGAAATGAGATCAGATCACTTTTTACCTCTTTTACACTGTAATTGAAAGAATCTGGCTTCTTTTTTTGCAATGTCCTGTCTCTGAAAATGAAGGTCGTTAAGTTTGCTTGACAATCACCATAGTCTACTCTGGATTGTTACCTTGAATTTTCCTTTTGGCTTTTATTTTCAGGAAAGTCAACCAATCTACCCTTATTATTCTTTACAGGCCCTTATACGGAATTTATCAAATTTAATGGACTACGTTGAATTATTTACCGTTACCATTTAATGACCTTTTTTTTTTCAGTCCCTATATTTGTAAATATCTTTTTTTTTCAGTGATAAGGGAAGGGTGGTTGATTGCAAAATGATCCCTGAACTATTAGTCAAATCTAACTTAACCCCTCATCTTTGGATTTTCTGATTTTAATCTATCAAACTGTCAAGCCAAAGCAATCCATCCCTTTTGTTAGGTTTCCTCCCTGGAAAATAATAAATAGAGACATGTGAAAGCATATTATTTTCCAATAATATGGTTTTTTTTAAGCATCTAACATAGAAACTGTGTTATTTTAACTTAATAGTTCGAGGGATCAAATTAGAAAATCAAAAGGTTAAGGGTTAAGTTGAATTTAACCAATAATTCAAAGGTCATTTTACCAGTTAGCCAAATATTGTTGGACTAGTTTATGTATCAACTAAAATTAAATCTATTTTTTTCATACCATCTTTATATTAACATGGTGTATTTAAGGGAATAAATTTCCCTAGATATTTGCCTAGAAGTTTAAACCCAAAAAATAAAAAAAGGGAGAAAATCTCACTAACTATTACATATATAATTTAGAGTTTATATTTTTAATATTGGCTTTGCTCATGTTTTTTATGACACTTAAAATCACTTAGATTAAAATGATATTGTAATTTATTTAAAAATATTGTGAGAAAAAAAATGCTTTTCATATTATATTTTATTTATGATCATCAACCTAAAAAATACAAATTCAAGTTATTAATGGATGATCAAGTCATATTCAAAACATGACTTGATTGAAGTATAATTAAAGTTTTAACACATATAATTGATAGGAAGAGATGCACGAATAGAAAATATAAATTGTATTAGGATTTAGATTGTAAAATATTTATTTATCATATAAAGTTTGTATAACCTCTATATAATTTAATTTTGGGATAATTATATTTTTTTGTATAGTTTATTTGATTTATGAAAGTCTAAAGAGAAATTAAAATTCAAATCAAACTATATAAAGGTTTTTATAATTATCCTTTTAATTTTTTTTACTAAAAGACATGTTAATAATATTTAAATATTATTTTTATATTTACTAAAAATTTAATCTGCCCAGCAGCATAATAATTATCAATAAAATGTTAATCAAAATTTTGTCTCTCGTGTTAAAATTAGATATCATACTGGATAATGTACGTGTGGAACTTGCCTCGGTAATGCTCTATATACGAATGCAAATTAGAATACGTGTTATGTAGACACCAATCCGATTTGATTTCCTCATGAAATTTATACCCGACACGTGTACTCTTTTGGTTTGTAGTTTTACCTTTACTCTTTCTATATATATATATATATATTGTTTTTTTTAAATTGTTTTTTAGCCGGATTAATTTTCTTTATCCAACGAGCTAACTTCGGTTATCATCATTATCCGTAATTACCAAACATTAACACTCGTTTGTTCACCATCAAAATAATCCCAATCCATTGTATTTATTTATTTATTTTTTCGAGTTAGAGAGAGAGAGAGGGGTCCGATGTCAAATATCAGGGCCACAACCAACAAACCTTCCTCGCTTGGTCTTCCTCTTCCCCTCTTTAGTTGTCTCTCCTTTTCTTCTCTCTCGCGGATCTAAATAAAAAATATAAAACATAAATAAATAAAGCGAGCACTCACTCTTTTCAATCGTTGCTTTCTCCCTGCACGGATCTCTTTTCGCTTCCCGATCTCATACGAAGCCCTTGAGAGAAATTTCTTTCCTTTCTCTCTCCCCCCACTTTTTACTCTCCGCTAGGGTTTCCAAAAAAAAACTAATCAAGCAAAAATAGAACGAAAGGAATCAAATCTCAGGCAAGGAGTTCTCTATTTTATTGTTTGTTATTAATATGCGTGTCTGTTTGCTTGCCGAGAAATTGCCGGAAAAAGGAAGGAAAATAGAATGGTTTTTATTCTTTTTAATAAAAATTGTACTTAGCCCGTGTGCTTTTTAGTTTCTGTTTGCTTTATAATTACGATTGATCCGATTCGTTGTTTATTCGAGCGAGTCTCCCAGATTTTTCTGTAGAACATGTGACTTGATCATCTAATTTCTCTTAGCTCTAATAAATAAATAAATTAATAGTATATTTTTTGGCTTATTTTTAAATTTTCAATGGATTGTAGTTAAAGCGAAACTGTAGATTGGAATTATATCTTGTTGATAAGAGAGGAACCTTTTTGCATTTTGGGTTCAGAATATCAAAAGTGAATATAAGATAGGGCGTGGTTTTAGGGTTTAGAATGTTGAGAAATCTAAATTCCGTTAATTGATCAAGTTGGAAATGTTGCAAAGAGGCTATGCATGGTAGTTAACTATTGGGATTTAGCAAGTTTTTCTGTAATGCATTATCAAGGAAATGTCGCATGTGTTACTGTCCTCTATAGAACACCCAACTCTGCTAATTCTGTTCCCCACCAAACTACACCAGGTTGCCTGCATGAGTTCTTTTTGTCCTATAGCAATCAAAATTTATGATTAGTAGTTAACCACTAGTTTTTGATGCCCAATCGATTCAATTTTAGTCATCTTTTTTTTTTTCATATGGAATAGTATTCCAGACATTTGTGCTGTTTTGTTTGTGCATTTTCTTGGTTTTGTTTGAATAAAATTTTGAATGAGTGAGGGAACAAGTGTTTAGTGGCTTTAGTGGAAATTTAGGCACTATTAATCAGTAACAGAGCAGTGATTCAAGGAAGATCCTAATGGTCTATCGATAGAAGTTAAAGAGAAACTTTAACATGAAAATTATAATTTGGATGTCAAAGAGGGAGCAATGAGTGTGTGTTTATTGGGTTTTGTTTTGTGTGGACTCAGATTCCAGAAATTTGTTTTGTATGGATTTAGATTTCAGAATCGATTCAGTCTTTTTTTTGTGCATGCTTTGGTAGCACCCCCTTTTCCCCTCTTATTGAAGACAAAATCATGTATATCATTATTCACTGCACATAAAATGCTTACCACGGTTTTTATGGTGATGCGTCATTTTGATGTAGTTTATCTGTTTCCTTTTCTTCCTAGATTGTGTCAAAGTCTTTTGGATGACCTTGCTAAGACTACTGAATTATGACATCAAGTATGTTGACCGGAGATCGCAGGTATGTGGTTTATATGTGTTTTCATGTCCTTCAAAATAAACTATGATCTTTAAGCATGTGTTTGGTTTTGCATGGGCCAGTGGGAGGACAGACAGTTTTTTCTCATGGTGTTGATATTACCCCTCTAAAACTCATGCGATATTGGCTTAGAGGGGCATTACCATTTTATCAAGATTGTTAGGCACACCATACATCATAGAATCCATGCATTTTTTATATTGCATTTGACATTTTCACATTTAAAAGTGTTGTGGTTTGATTTGGCAGCGTGGGCATCTTTATTTATGTCTTACGTTTGTGCTATTGGCAGCTTCCAATCTCTATGTCTGAATGGTTTTGATCTTGAAATTATTGGGTATAACCAACAAATTTATGAATTGTTATCTAAAAATGAGTGTCTGCAGATATGCTCCTTCAAGAAGAGGTGGCATGACAAGTTTGGGGAAGATTGCTGTTCCCAAACCAATAAACCTACCCAGCCAAAGGTATTAGGTTTCTGCTGAATAAATTGTGGTTCTGTATGATGAGGCTCTTGGATTACCTCCAATAATTTTTTATGTTTCCTCTCTGATGTTTCAAGGTTAGAAAATCATGGTCTGGACCCGAATGTTGAAATTGTGCCCAAGTGAGTAATTTATCTACCTTCTGGTGTTTTGATGCCCTTTTCCGCTTCTCCTGCCATTATTCTTGTTTTTCCTTATGAAATGCCTTTTTTTCTTCAGTATGAATGGATGTATATAGCTTGACTTGATCCTTAATTGCTTCCTAAACTTCACAGGGGTACCCATAGCTGGGGCACTAGATCATCTTCTTCCACTCCTAATGCCTGGGGTTCTTCAACGCTGTCTCCAAATACTGATGGTGGTAGTGGTTCACCAAGCCATCAGAGTGGTCGCCCCTCATCTGGTGGAAGTGGCACTCGACCATCAACTGCAAGCAGTGATAGAACCCACGATCCCATTGCTAGTGCATGGGGTACAAATTCTAGGCCATCTTCAGCATCAGGAGCTTTGACATCAAGTCAAACATCATTTACATCATTGCGTCCTTGCAGTGCAGAAACAAGACCTGGTAGCTCGCAGTTATCCCGTTTCGCTGAGCCCTTATCTGATAATTCAGTGGCATGGGTTGCAACTGGAACAGCAGAAAAGTTGGTATGGTTTCCTTAAAGATCGCCTTTTATATCATCTCATACTAATCACTTTGAAATTAAATTTTTTTGCTCATGTCATCAAGAATTTGCTTGGATAATTATCATCAATATATGGAATATATTTTTGTTTATGTAATGTTTGCTGGTGAAGTTTGTGCATTTCATTTTTGGCACTTTCACTGGTATTGCAGTTCTTTGTACAAGTGGGCAGTTTCTACCGAACCCAACCTTTCAAACAAATCCTGAAACCAATTAGTGAAAGGGAAAATAGCATCAATCAGGCAATAGGTTTCTGAATTGCCTGAGGAACTTGCTGCTAAATGGTGTGTAGTAGGCAACAGATTCTTAAATTAGTTGATTATATTGCTAGTAATATTTAGAATGGTAGTCATGAGATATTAATGAAAATTGTAGAGTTTTTCTGTTTGTAAACCCTGCAATAGCTCACTGGAATTGATTATAATAGGACCTTCTAAGTCATATAGAGGATTACATTCATTAAAAGGTATTGTAATTGAATGCATGTGAAGTTCATTGTTGGTTTGAATGACAATTTGTAGCTGTACTTCCTAAAACCTCTCTTATCAAGCTTCTTTAATACATTTGTTGAGTGCTTTCGTCTTGTGTTATGAATGCATGTTGTAGCTTCCTCGTGATCTCTTAAATTACAATTCCAATCAATGAACTCAGAATTCTTAGATGGGCATCCACATGCTAGATTGTAATGGCTGTAGCTAGAAATCCCCATGTTTTCGCAGTAGAAATCCATATTGATCAGTTAAAAGTTATCCACACAACAAGGTTATGGCTTCCCTACTCATTGGAGAGCTATAAATTTTCAAATTGTTATTGATCTAATGCCAATACATTTATCTACTCTCTGTAATTACCAGTTTTTTTTCCCATACATGTCTGCAAAGGGTTGCTTGTTATTGTAAAAAACCTTTTTTTTACTCATTGATTGTATTTATGTAATAATAAGATCCTTTAACCAATTTGTCAATGAACACTCTTTGTGGAGGATGTAAAACGTTATTTCTATAGAAACTATAGAATGGTAGGTGTTGCAACATGGTAATTTTAGGGTTCAAGGGAAAACACTTTAAAAAGATGGGGAATAAAGCATAATTGGATTCATAATTGAGTGTGCTGTGTCATATTTGTGTACAACTTTTCTTATGTTATTCGACGAAGAAAGTCTTAGTCATTTACATTATAAATTGTGGTTATTATTATGATATCTTGAAGGAATAGTAGTTGATACAAGGAGAAAGATGGTCCAAGGAGGTTAGATTTGGTTTACTGATTAAAAACATCGGGTTGGGCCATTTGGTCTATGTGTGGGCACAGAATTGTTCATGTAATGCACATTCTATGTGCTTGACCGTTCCCAACAACCCAAGCCAAGGCCAAACTAAATTTTATTTGGGTTTCTTGGATTTGCTTTTGCACTTTTCTATTATTAACTTGACTTGCCTTTCTTAGTGTTATAACTGCTATACGTGCAGGGAGGGACATCCTCTAAGAATGAGGGGTTTTCTTTGACTTCTGGAGATTTTCCAACTCTTGGTTCAGAGAAAGAGCACTCTGGAAAAAACACGGAGTCCCAAGGTATACTTATGTTGCATTGCCCTTTAATACTATTGAATCATGATAAGAATTTGTGCTCATTCTATGATTGGTTTATTGCTTTTAGACCTGCAGTGCTTCTTACAGTGCCAAGAAAACTTCCTGTCATTGTTTTAGTCTTTTAATCACATGTAGCTCAATTTCCTTGGTAGGTATCACCAAATTGTATTCAATATTTATCTAAATGGCACGCTGATATTCCAAGATCTTATATTTATCAAAGTAATGCTAATTGTTTTGATTTTAAAAAGCTCATGTAAATTTTATTTTCTAGTGAGGATCAGAGGGAAGACTTCTTGAATTGACAATTTTTCTTTATCTTTGGCATCGGTGAAGAAATTTGGATGGCCAATCTTATTCTCAAATAATGTTCACACATAAGATTTATTCATATTGAAGCTGTAGTCTATTCTAATGACATGTCTCCCTTTCATGATCTGTCAAATACATAAATGATGATGTTAATTTCTTTATGAACTATTTAATTGCAGACCATGATTCTTACAGTCGTCCTGGTTCATCATCGGATGGAGTAGCTCCGGGGAAAGAGAGTGCTGAAAATTCTGCAGGTTTGCATTTTTGGCGCCAGACACTTATTTCTTATAGGCATGCTGCCGTGTCTTTCATGATGTAATCTTGCATGTTTGTGTGCATTGCTTAAATGTGACAATTGCCACTGCCAAGCTAAATAAAGATAGTCATACTGTTTTTTTTTTTTTCCCCTTCAAATTTTCAGGTGATGCTTCTATAAACACAAATGCAAAGATGGAACCTGCAAATTCTTGGAGAAGAGAGAATCCCATGTGTGGTGAAGATGGGTCGAGGCCTAGCATGGAGAAGTGGCACCCTGATCACCAATTGTATCCTAATTCTAATATTCGCCCACAGAATTATGATTCTTGGCATGCCCCCCCTGTAAATAATCCTCCAGGTGGCGTTTGGTACAGAGGACCTCCAGGTGGTCCACCTTTTGCGCCGCCAATAGCACCTGGTGGCTTTCCCATGGAGCCATTTCCTTATTACTGTCCGCAGATTCCACCTACTGCTCTTGCCAACCCACAACAAGGTCCTCCACCAGGACCTGGACCAAGAGGACCCCATCCAACAAATGGAGACATGTACAGACCCCACATGCATGATGCGTTTATGCGTCCAGGCATGCCATTTCGTCCAGGTTTTTATCCTGGACCAGTTCCTTACGAGGGCTATTATGCTTCTCACATGGGCTACTGCAACTCCAGTGATCGAGATATTCAGTTTATGGGAATGGCAGTGGGTCCTGCTCCATATAACAGATTTTCTGGTCAAAATGCTCCTGATCCTGGAAATTCCCATGGAAGGCCAGGTGGATATGGTCCTCCTAGTGGTCACACAATGGTTCCAGAACAACTGGAATCTGGTCATCCACAAGATACTCGTGGACCATACAAAGTTCTTCTGAAGCAGCATGATGGTTTAGAGGGAAAAGACGAACAGAAGTGGGATGACATGATGGCAACCAATGCATCATATCCTGGGAAGGCAGACCATCAAAGAAAGTCATCATGGGAGAAGGGCTGGAGTGCAGATGAGAAGAACAATAAAGAGAGGAATACAAGAAGAATTGGCGAAGAATTTTCTTCCGAGGCCAGTGGCAACCAAGGAGGTGCTAAAGTGAAACCTCTTGAACATATAGGAAATTGGAAGGCAGCTGATGACAGTTCAGTTAAGAAACTGGAACATGCAGCATCTGGTTTTCCAGAAGTTTCAACCGCCCCAAAGGATCCTAGTCTAATCCGGAAAATAGAAGGTTTAAATGCAAAGGCCAGGGCCTCTGATGGAAGGCAAGAAGTTAAATTTGCTTCCGGTAGGGAGGAGCATAAGAATAGATTACAAGGTGGTAATGCCAGGTCTAATCACTCTGCAAATGAAGCTGGTAATAGTTATGCATCTCTTGAAAGAACTCATGTCTGTGGCATTAGCGACGCTGCTTCCCATGAAGACCGCATTTCTGCTGCAGATAAGAGCCATGAGGTAACAGATGCTATCGGAACAGCAAGCTCCAGGTGTGTGTGTGTTTTCTTGCAGGCTTTTATTGACAATGAATCTGTTATTCCAATGGTGGACATCACTAATGTACAATTTCACAGGAGATCAACTCATGGTATGCATGGGAGACCTGATCATCATGGTAAAGGGAGATTCAGTACCCAAGAGGCTGAAGGGTGGCGGAGAAGATCCCATGTTGCAGACATGCCGAGTGTATTGTCGTCTTCTCATTTTGAAAATTCTAATGTTCATAGGCAAGACCATAGTCCTACAGAGGCAACTGAAAAGTCTGGGTCATATCATCAAGGGAAGGATGATGGAGAATCTGTGCTACCTCACCCTGATCCGGTTCTTGCAAGTGGCCGAATGATGTGTTCATGATACACACACACACACACACACACACAAACCTTTTGTTGTTTTTATAATTCCTTTTTTTTTTTTTATCTATCAGCATCTTTATTTGCTATTGTTTTTTTAATCAGCGTGCTAAGATGAAAGAGCTAGCCATTCAACGGGTTAAACAACGTGAGAAGGAAGAGGAGGAACGTGCTAGAGATCAAAAGGCCAAGGCACTTGCAAAACTGGCAGAGTTGAATAAGCGGACTAAGGCAGCGGAGGGTTTAAGCGAGGTGCTGCCAGGGATGCCGAAGGCCACCCACAAGGAATCTGTTGTGATACATGACCAATTGGAGCCATTGCAACAGGATGTTAGTCGTGCTGATGGTGATCACCCTGATAATGCCCCACAGACTTGTGACAATAGAGCTTCCAAGCAGAAGCGTGTGAGCTACAGACAAAAGCAGAATGGTCCCTTGGAAAAGACTTGCAATGATAAGTTAATGACTTCTATAATTGAGGCACCAAAAAATGCTACTGATGTAGCAGCCAATGCTCCTGTTTCTACCGAGGGTGCAAATGAAATGACCACAAGCCCTGAATCGACTTTGCCCATCAACCCAACTGCCATGACCGAGTCTTCAGTACATCATGGTAGAAGAAAGAGCAAAAATGGAAAGAACAAGTTCAAAGTGGAGGAGGCATCATCTATGGCAGTAGTTGTAACGGCAACCCTATCAAAAGAAATAACTGCTATAGACATTTCAGTTGAAAGTAGTAAGTCCAAGGCTTCTGAATATGTGTCAGATCCAAGCTCCCAGACTGATTCTAGAGATGGAAATCAGTCTTTGGATCAACGCACATCATCACCAAATGAAGAAGTTCAAGGCAGAGTAAATAATCAGTGGAAATCTCAATATTCTCGCAGGATGCTGAGGAATCCACAAGCTAATAAATCATCTGAGAAATTCCAAAGTGGTGATTGTGTTATCTGGGCTCCCGTGCGGTCGCACAATAAAATTGAGGCTACTGATGAAGCCAGTCAGAAGACTCTGGCTGATGCCATTAGTGAACCCATGAAGAGTGATCAGCAAGTGCAGAATAATAGAAGAAATAAACGGGCAGAAATGGAAAGATACATTCCGAAGTCTGTAGCCAAAGAAATGGCTCAGCAAGGAAGTAGTCCCCATTCAGCGGTGCCATTAATCAATCAGATTACACCAGATGAGACTGTTGGAAGACCTGAATCTCATTCTCTGGGCAATGAAAGTTCTCAAAGCACTGCCACAGGTATGGGAAAGGTAGTATCCATTTTAGAATCTAAGAATGGGGATGGCAGGCAAAATAAGTCAGGAAAAAGGTATGGATCATGGCGCCAACGGGGTTCATCTGAATCAACTTTGTCTTTTACAAGTAAAAATGTTCAAACATCAATTGAGCATCAAGTCCAGAAACCTGATGTAAGTTCAGCGAAAGAGCAACTGGGTCATTCTGATGAATGGAGTGACTCTGATGGTTGGAACATTCCTGAAAAATCTGAGGTGCCCATCACTGTCCCTGCTATAGAAGATCATGGTGCAACAGCCAGAGCTAGGCGGCCATCATACAGGGGACATAAAGGCACGGGATGTAGCCATGATCCTGATGAGAAGAGAATTAATACTGGGGACGCTGAAAAGGTTCATGTCCAAACTTTAGGTTCAGAGATGCATCAAGCAGACTTGGCTGCAACTTCAAAAGAAAATTGTGCTGTTGGGGAACGACTAACATCTCATTGGCAACCCAAATCCCAGCCAATTTCAGCAACTAATCATCCAGGAAGCAGGGCCAGTGGTGGTCAGAACACAGGCTCTGAAGTTGGTAGGGGTAATAAAAAGGATTCCACTTCTCAAAATGGTATGCCAGTTCTGTCTCAACCTGGCAAGGATATTGCTGCAGAGGCCCAGTCCCATCCTGATGGCTCTCTGTCTGCAAGGAGCAATTTGGAAGAAGATCCTAGCACTGGGCATCAAGAGGGTAAGAAGGAAAGGAAGATAGCATCACATAAAGGACATCTGGCTGAACCATCTCCTTTGAATATGGATTTTCAACAACGTGTGTCTTCAGGGTTCCGAAAAAATGGAAACCAAAACAGCCGCTTTGGCAGAGAGCATGATTCTCGTGGTGGCGAGTGGAGTGGTTCTGGTAAAGATAACGAGTACCATAACCATGAAAGGCAGAGACATAATTCACATTATGAGTACCAGCCAGTAGGGCCTCAATATAATAACAAAGCTAACAATGATGAATCTTCCAAAGATGGTTCTCATAATTCAGTTGCAAGGTCCAGGGAGAGAGGTCAGAGTCACTCAAGGCGTGGTGGGGGGAATTCACATGGGCGGCAACCTGGTGGTGCTCGAGGCGATGCCAATTATGATTAGGGGTGAAACTCTTGAACGGGCTCTGGTGTGTCAAAAACAATGCCTCCAATAAAAGTTTTGAGATGATCTCTCGCACTCAGGTATTTTAGTCAGGTAGCAGTCATTTTCAGTTGTAAATAATATTTGGCTCGTCATCAACTGATTGCATGGTAATTGAGCAGGGCTTGGAGCAAACAAAATGGCATCGCAAAAAAAGAAAAGAAGAGATAGAGAGGCGACTAGGCAGGAGGCACTCGGATATGGTTGATTTATTTTCTTATTTTTCAAATGTATTTGATCAGAACAGTGTTATTTTGTCGCAGTGTGTTTGCTGTGGAACCCTAGATATGTTTTGAGCGGTGTATCTAGTGATCAATATTCTCCTTCATATGAACACTAGAAAGAATGAAGTAGAGGAGCTTTTCTGGTTCTCCCACTTTATCTCAATCTTCCATTCTTTAGCATGTGACGTGCCCCTAGATTTATTCATGTTTTTATTAAGATGGTGCCGTTTAGTCTCTGCTATGATATTTCTAATTCAAATTCTACTGTTTATATTTTCAATCTACATATAAATGTGAGATGGTTAAGGATCTCAAATTAATAGGTTCTTTCTTGTGATTTGGTTCTTGCAAGTGGCCGAATGATGTGTTCATGATATATATATATATATTACATGTGGAATTAGTCTGATTCCAGACAGCTAGTTAGTAAGAAACGAGATTGAATTAGACAAGTGGGAGCTTATTGCATTGGACGAGTAACTATCTAGTTGATTCTCTTTATTCTTCGGAGCGACGGTTGTATTTCGCATTCCAATTGTTTGACATGCCAATTTCTCCATCGTGGTTTCTACTGTGTCCGACACTATTCTAGCTTTTGTGATTGCGGATTAGAAAAAAGTAATTTTTCAAAAAAAAAAAATCTTAGTTGCAGTTTTTTAAAAATAAATTTTTAAAAATGTATTTATTTAATTAAAATAATGGTAAGATAGATTTTTACATGTAAATAAATAAATAATATATTATTTTAGCATATAAAAAATCAAAATTTAAAACGAAATTATATCCAATATAAGAAGTAGAAGCTATTTGCCTAACTACATAATTTTTTCTCTATCAACGATAAAAAAAAAAAAAAAATCATAACAATACAAAACAATTTATTAGTATCCTCCTATCATAATATAAAAGCATTTGGTGATCATAATATCAAGACAATGAATGACATCCTCGTCCAATATTTTGTAAATAAAAAAAAATATTTCTTTATTGATTATAGAAATAGTTATTTGTTAGTTTTATAAATAAAATAATTAATTTATGCTAAAAACAATTCATTTTATAGTATTTAATGTAATTCTATTAGTTTTATAAATAAAAATATTAAATATCTTTATGTTTATCGAATTGTTTATCTTATCTCATAAGTTTCTTGAGAATCAACTATTTCCAAGTCATGAATAATAACAAATAATTTGTAATTTTCAAATTTAATTATTAATATATTTATTTTCATAAATAGAGTGATTTTCCTATTATGATGAATTTTGAAAATATTTTTATTGAAACTTATTTATCAATAATTATTTTATTTATTTTCCAAAAACATAAATTATTAATTAATTTATTTAATCTGTACCATAAATAAAATACATGAAAAGAAATCCAAAAGAACGAAGGGAAAATGCGGGCGGGGGACACTGAGCAGGCCTAAGTGGGCCGTTCTATAGAGGCCCAGCCAGTAGTTTTTCTATCACTCCTAATATTATTTTATTTCAGTTCTTGTATATTCCCATTGGGAAAAGGAAAATAAAGAACCGTAGCCAAAAACCTCCTCACTCACTTTTTTTATGGTGCGGTGCGAAATTGATTATCCACGACCACTGTTAGTCTGTTAATAATATATAGAAAAAGAAGCCCCCTTTATAAAAATTCACCAAGGGAAGAGATACGGAAGAGATACCTCTCTTTCTCTCTATCCATCCATAGGAATTCATTCAGATAACAGAAGGGTTTCTCTTTTTCAATCAAATTATCACATAAAGGTTGTCTTTCTGTAGAGCTATCCTCATGAATTCATGTGGGCAGGTTAGTGTGTTACTATCAAATTTCTATCTTTTTCTTTACTTGTTAGCTTCAATCTGTTCTACCTTGCTTTGGTTAGGGTTTTTGCTTTGTGGGTTCTTTGCTATTTGGTTGCCATGAAAATTTCTGGGAAAAGCTTGAATCTTCTGCATTTGCCTAGTTTTTATGTGAATGTTAGGGATGCTGTGGCTATGTTTAGCTTATTTGTCTGTTTGGTTGCTGCTCAGAAATTTGAAGGTATAAAAAGGAGAGGAATTTGAAGTTTTTGGGTTTTTCGCTAAAATAATAAAGCGAGGTTAATTCAGATAATTTGAAGGCATAATTCAACTTGTTCTTTTTGTTTATTGAAGCTAATGACGATAGAACTGTTGGTGATTCAGTGCAAAAGAAAAAACAAACAAACTTTTGTACTTTCTTTTTCCTACGGTTTCTTGCAATTGAATGGATTATGAGTGTTTTTGATGCCTCATCCTAGTGATGCCTCTAATAAAAAAATATCTTTTTTTCAGCTTTGCTGATATCTTTCTGGTTATTTTTTTAGCTTTGAATTGAATAAGGCATTGTTGCTTTGTATTGAATAAGGCGCTGTTGAGTTAATGAGTGGGTGCTTGAAGTGGAGAAAATGGCATTGGTAACCCATCAGATGCAGGTACTTATAAAACAATTCTGTGCAGAGCTTGTGCTCCAAGAGTGTTACCGTTTTCTCTCCCCTGTTAGTTTCAAGTCAACAAGGCCTTAATCCATAGCAATCAAATTATCATGTCATTTTATCAATTCTGCTTGTACGGACTTTTGTGTATATTAAAGGGACTAAGGGAGCTTTATCAGTTGTCGTTTATTTTTCTTTTAAACTTGAGGGTTAGAGTGTTGATACATGTTCCTGTTGGGTTTATGGAAGTTCAATCAGTCATTTGTGTGGTACACACAGCTGTGTTAATATAAGATATACTTAAATTGATGATGTAGTGGATGAATTACTCTGCTAAAATGCTCTAGGTAGCTGAGATGATTTATTCAACTGTTTTAATTGGTTTTCCTTCCATGTTTTTGAGACGTGAAATTTAGTGAAATTGATAGTATCTTGTGCTTGTATCACAGCAGTTGTACTTGCCTTGTTGAAAGTGTTTGGGTGCATGTGAAAAAAGCTAAACATATACACTCACCCATACTATGCTAGTTCAAGTTTGTAACATCATATTTTCACATTGTTTTGCAATCTCCATTGTTTAGCACTCTTATATACTGTAATTATAACATCATATTGCTTTGTCTGCTGCACATAGGGTTCTTATGCAACATTGCCTTCAAGGCCTTTATCTTGGAGCAAAGGGGTGAAGTTGAAGCAACGTGTAACAGAACTTCAGATGGTAGGGAGAAAAGATATGTGTTTTTCAGTAAAACACAGTCTTCGTTTAAGGTAAAATTTTCCTATATAATTGAATTCATGATCAGCTGCTTGTCTTTGCAAATCCAAATTGCTTAATATTGGATTTTGCAGTCAGTTTTATTTGTTTTACTTTGTTCTGAGAAGGATGGTACAAAACTTCCTGGCTCTGGCTGATTACTTATTGATGTGCAATTCAAGAATATTTCTTGGTTAATGATAATTTAGAATTTTATTTTTCTTATGCTTCTCTATCAATGGACTATGTGATTGGCACAAACTTGTCCTTTGAAATTACTTTTGTATTCTGTTTATATCTAATGAATTTCAAGCATATAGATTGAGCTGCATTGTTTCCACAGTGCAGGGGCTTTCTCACATGGACCCAAAGTAAAGCTCTTGAGAGTTTCAGCTTTTAAAGGCAGTGCACAAAATGATGAATCAGGAGGCAGAGCTAATGGATCCAAAGTTTCAAAAAAATCTGTTAAACTTTCTTATGTGCCAAAAGAAAGTGGAGAGACCATGATGGACTCTTCGAAGGTGCATAGTATTCCAGTTTCCTATACTTCTGAAGCAAATGAAAGAATTGCAGGATCCCCTGCTATTAATAAATTATTCAAGAAATGGCTCAGCATGCTGCGCACACAGTCTCCAAGTCAAGTTGCGGATGAGATTCTGGAAGAAGGACCTCCTCCAAGGGAAGACTTGCAACAAGCTCAAAATACCACCCAAAATAAGGAGAGAGTTGATATTGTAAAGTCAGTTTGGTATCACTTCCTGAGTCTGGATGCAACAATAAAGATACCCATACTGACATTGTAAGTATTATTGCTTCTTCCACATGGTCATTGAAAAAATAATTTTAGTCATTACTTGTTCTGTTGAAAAATATGGCTACAAACATAGATCAAAGAAAAAGGATTCACCATTTAGCCGACTCAACTGCTGTGAAGCAATGAGGTTTTGTTGAATTATTTGTCCAGCAGAAACAGTATTCATTTATCTTTATCAACTGAGCTCCTTTTGCTACATTGATATATGATAATCTATTAACAATACAAGAATTCTTCCAATGCTTGACTTCTAAACGGATCCATTATGTAAGCAGTTCTGGGTTTAGTTTTTAATATTTGTTATTTTCTTGAGAATTTTCTGGCAGCATCTAACTGCATTGCTTTGTTTTCAGCATTCCTTTGTTCCTGGCCGTCAATGTGATGTATGGGGCTGGAGTGTCAAAGGAATTGACTCCATTGTGGATTTTGGGTCCCCTTATTGTTGCTTTCTACATCAAGTTACTCCAGGGCTTGTGGGCACTCTATGTTTTCAGCTTTAGGCAGACAATTAAAGTTATCAAAAATGTACCTACCTACTATCTGGTGGCCTCCGGCTATATCAGACAAGGGAAGCTCAAAGAAGACATACAAGCTCGTGTGTTGCAACCTCTGCAAAGCTTTAAGAACTTGGACCGCAAAGAGTTTTCAAGAAAAAAGATGATGGAATTGCAAGAGTGGTTGATGGAGAAGTACCTAGATTATGTGGAATCTATATGGCCCTACTACTGTAGGGCAATCAGGTTTCTAAAGAGGGCTAATCTGATTTAGATTTGGTAATGTTAAAATTTTAGGCGAGGGCAAAGTGTCGAGGTTGGAGTTTCTTTGGGAAAATGTTTCAAGAGTTTTGAGATTTTTGAAAAAGTGCTGGCCAATCCCATTTTAGCTGGGCTTCTAGTATCATCAGGCAAGTCAAGGATCATAACAGAAGCTGATTTTTCTGATTTCTGTAATTTCATAGGGCATTCTTGCACGAGATTCCAGTCATCTTGTTCCTTTTTGTATTATGTTCTTTGAGGTTCCATAGTAGCATGAAAGTTTTTCAACTCTATTATTCGGTTATTAATGAGAATTTGTATGTTTTCAATAACATCTATGTTTTTTTAAAAAAGAAATAGAAATGGTAGTATGGGATGATTTTCCTTGGTTGTCT